CTTATGGCTTGATCTGTGTCTACATAACCAAATATCTCAGCCATCTGTTTTCCCTTAAACCATATATTCTGTTTGTTATCAACTTAAACTGTCATCAACTGACATTTAAACCGTCCAAGTATCTACTACCAGTAGTATTGAGACAGTTCCAAGAACATGAACCAATACGTTAAGTGATCACAACCGAAGAAGAATTCTTTTCATAAATACAATAGCGTGACTCCCAATTATCTCTTCATTGATATGGTTTTGAAAAATAAATCTGGCATCACTTATTCACAAGATTTACAAGTATTTGTTGCTGTTTATGGTGTTTTAGGGTATCACAATGATGTCTCAGCAAGTGTTTGGGATAAGATATACACGGTTACCAACGGTGTCATCAATTTCAATGAGAAGGTTAAAATGGATGTAGTTGATCCTGTCGAAAACCAAAATCCTGTGTCTAAAAAGATACATGACGGTGACAGAAATAGATTAAACAATTCTGTCACAAATCGTAACAATTACTATTATAATAACAATATTGAACATAATAATGAAAACATCAAAAGAAAAAAAAAGAAGGGGAACAAATCAAGAGAGACAAGTGTAAAACATTAATGCATGGAATAATTGTATTGAATATTGCTTATTTGCTTAGAGTGTAACGGAACAGATTCTGTCACGATTTAATTGCTCTTCAACAAAATTCTCCGAAGACCGCAAATAATGATTTTCTTAAATGCATAACAATTGAGTAAGTGGACAGAAAACTTTGAATGCGTCAACCATCGTTAACCCTGAGCAAAAGAAAATTTTTCGCTACAAGAGGGTCTCAATTGAGTTAATCAGATTGATTTGACCATCACATTCGACTACCTACGCTTTCTTAACGGAAAAAAAAAGGACAACACACTCGGATAGTTCAACACATTTGATTCCATCACAGACAGATTGAAATGAACCCAAGAAGGAACCGAAAGGATGGTTCGGCATGGAGGAAAACAAACATAGAATGAAAACTACGACACTGTAAATGTTTAATTTAAGAACAAGTATCTGTAAGAATCAAACATCTTGGAAAATGAAAATTTTCAACCCCCCCCTTCAAATTTTGCATGCAGTTAGGCACTTAGGGGGGATAAACAAAAATGCCCTTTTATAAAGGTTGCAGCATCCTTGTTGCCATGGTAACAACGGCTGCTTGTTCGAGGCCTGGGGCCTCATTTTCATACAAAAACGTCGCAAAAAAAGTGAAATGTTTATTTCTCTATCTCAAGCTAAATATAACATTATAAATTGGCACTTCTACCATACATTATAACATCATTCGTCTTCACTTTGACACATTTAATTTTCCCTGGGAGTGAATGGAAACACATCAATGGATTATTCATCTCGGTACAGTTTCGGTCATTTTTGTTGTCGGGTAAAACAGGGAAAACGTTTATCTGAATTTCTCCAAAAGTACACCGATTCTGGAACTGAAACTACCCACCTAGCTGGTTATAATATTCTGGTTTTTAAATATGTAAAAATCTCTGCGGGCCTGCCTCTACTTTTGTTAGGGGCAATTTGCGAAAAAAACTCAAAATCATAAAATCATTTTGCATAATTTGGCGATGTTTACATCTAATGTTCTCAACAAAAAACGTTTCAGACAAATGAAACGCGCGAGGCTTTGAAAGAATGTTATCTTATGAGCAATGTCCCGAGGAGAAATCTCGCCTCTGGTTGTCATCTTTTAAAAAAATTGATTAACTTTCATGAAGGACAACTCGACTTAACTACAAATATATACCTCAAATCGTGTGCATATCATCCAGATTCCGAGTGCTGCACCTTCTTTCACAGGAATTTGAGCAATCCGAAATCCTCTGAAGATACACTGTTATACTCATATGTCATTGGAAACATGTTGAAGTCGGCTGATCTACACGAAACTATCCTCACACAGGTCATTTGTCATAAACATGTACGTTATCACGATGGCGTGACGCTGTATTTCTCTATGAAGTTTCCATCGGTCGCTCCAAAGAAGACGAGAAATGGATATTTTTCATATATGTCAGCAGAGTTCCGCTTTCTGAAGTAAAAACAACCTTCGATTGAACGCTCGTAAACACTGAGAATCTGAGAGCAGAAATCGCAACTTGTCAGCGGCAGTACTACATGTAAAACCCAGTCGTCACGATAGCAATTTATACGACTCGCGCGAGAATCATCACAAAGTGGAGATTTTGAACTACTCAATATCCCGGCAGTACAGGAAGCAGAACAGGGATTTCATCACAATCAATTTCCGAAAATTTAGCTTTTTTCAGGGAGTCTTTAGCGTGCTCAAACGTTATATTGGCTCTGAGCCTTGAGATTTATTTCCCTTGACAATAGAATGCTATAGAAAGTGCAAACAAAATTACACAGGAACTCTTTCTTTTTTTTGGTTGTTTTTACTTCAGAAAGCGGAACTCTGCTGACATATATGAAAAATATCCATTTCTCGTCTTCTTTGGAGCGACCGATGGAAACTTCATAGAGAAATACAGCGTCACGCCATCGTGATAACGTACATGTTTATGACAAATGACCTGTGTGAGGATAGTTTCGTGTAGATCAGCCGACTTCAACATGTTTCCAATGACATATAAGTATAACAGTGTATCTTCAGAGGATTTCGGATTGCTCAAATTCCTATGAAAGAAGGTGCAGCACTCGGAATCTGGATGATATGCACACGATTTGAGGTATATGTTTGTAGTTACGCTGCGTTGTCCTCCATGAAGGTTAATCAATTTTTTTAAAAGATGACAACCAGAGGCGAGATTTCTCCTCGGGATATTGCTCATAAGATAACATTCTTTCAAAGCCTCGCACGTTTCATTTGTCTGAAACGTTTGTTGTTGAGAAAATTAGATGTAAACATCGCCAAATTATGCAAAATGATTTTATGATTTTGAGTTTTATTCGCGAATTGCCCCTAACAAAAGTAGAGGCAGGCCCGCAGAGATTTTTACATATTTAAAAACCAGAATATTATAACCAGCTAGGTGGGTAGTATCAGTTTCAGAATCGGTGTACTTTTGGAGAAATTCAGATAAACGTTTTCCCTGTTTTACCCGACAACAAAAATGACCGAAACTGTACCGAGATGAATAATCGATTGATGTGTATGGTAGAAGTGCCAATTTGTAATGTTGTATTTAGCTTGAGACAGAGAAAAAAACATTTCAATCTTTTTTTGCGACGTTTTTGTATGAAAATGAGGCCCCAGGCCTCGAACAAGCAGCCGTTGTTACCATGGCAACAAGAGTGCTGCGACCTTTAACAAGGGCATTTTTTGTGCACCCCTTCAGCGCTTAACTGCATGCAAAATTTGAAGGGGGGTTGAAGATTTTCATTTCCCAAGATCTTTGATTCTTACAGATACTTGTTCTTAAGTCTCCTTATCTTCTAATCCGATGCTTTGTCGCACTCAGTTAATTCAGATATTTTGAGTGTCTTAATGAGCCGACTGCAGATAAATTAGACGGAACAATTCGCCCGTTGTCTAGCTTGCTTGTGCCATCAGAAAAAGGCTTGATATATTCCATAACACAAGCAAGGAGTTAGGCAAGGTGAAATTCGTTCGGCGACAGCACGACAATACAAGTGCGAAGTGTTGTAAGAAAAGGAACAGCGTCAAGAAATGAAAAAATTATTCGCATACGCAGGCGCATTTACCGTTCCAGTTTCTCAATGCTCTTCATTCCCAGGCTCCGACTTATGGCAAAAAGTGTGCACAATTTTCATGGAATGAAGTAAGGGTCTTAGTGTCGAGCATCAAAAATGATAGCTTTACTTACCTCGGAGGTTCCAGTTACTCCACTACGAAGAACGGCTACGAATCCAAGGCATCTGCTCTGCGACGCATAGATTTGAAATAAGTTATCAAGCTGAGAAGTGTTTTCGTTACGAATTTCGATGCATATAGGTGGAATGAAATCACGTTTCTCGTTTGAGTTGACCTCTTCAGAATCTAAGGTTGACCCACTCTAGGACGGACGAAATGTTCGCCTCACATTTTAATTTATCAGTGCCAAAATTTCCCACAATTTGTAAATTGAGGAAAATACAAAACAGTTGCTTAGGACAGGACCTCTCACATTTTCAGACATCTACACAATTCTCCGCAATGTCGCATTCTTTGTCCTGATGAATGTTTTAACACCCTAGATCACGCTTCCACAACTTTTCAACTTAAAATCAAAGAAGCTAGCCACATTCAATGAGAGAAACCTACTCTTAATCACCAACTCTACCATGTTAATTTAATCCCTTCACCCTTCCCTCTTACCCTTCCCCAGTTCCCTTTAATCTCTTCCCCCTTCCATCTTACCCCTCCTCCTTTCCTTTTACCCCTCCTTTCTTCTTTTATACCTCTTTCTATTAGATTTAAGGGTGATACGTATGTTGTTAAAAACCTCCTATTTCAGTGTGCTAGCTCTTATAATCACCCACAGGCCTATTTGCAATTAAATATCCCGACCCCCATTCCCCCAAAAAGTATTCTTTTGTAAATATCCACGCTTACAATGTGTAAGCTCTTTATGTTTTTCTCTCGTGTCACCTTATTTAGATCACATTCACCAATTTATCGTACAGAAAAATGATTCAAATACTGTAAAAAGAGTGATAAATCGAGTTACAGAATTGTTACTAAAAAAATTGTCTGACTGGAGAAAACTATAAAAAGTATCGCATTGGGCAGAACCAACGGAGCTGCAAGGAGTACTGCTTTACGCTGTTGTTAATAAGACGTTTTACTGAAGCGATAGACGACAGCAGTCCCTGCTTTTCGGCGAAGTCTGTGGCGTGAGTCAAAAAGATCAGCGC